AAAAAGTGCTCAATTAATTTAAAGAAAAAAGCCCCCCCCCCCCCCGTGCAGACCAGTAAAATACGATTTTTGGCGCCCCTTTCTTTCTGATTTTTTATTTTCATGCGTTTTTAAGATATTATCTAAAGACGATTTTGACGCTCGTGATGGCGCCCGTGAGACTGCCCCCTCTGTCCCATCCCAATGGCTCTGGTGGCACCCAGACTTAGTTATCCAGTTGTGGTATGAACAATCTAACCACTCACCACTAGTCAAATAATTTTTATATGTATAGCATTTAATATTTTGTTTTGTTATCAGCTGTAAATTATGGATTCTGCAATTTGTCCATCCCACTGCAGAAGGAAGAACATTGGAAGTCATTATTTAGTTGCCCCTCTTTTGAATTCTTGTCTCTGAAGAAATAACATTTTTTTAAAATAACATCTGAATAACATTGTCCCGGAGACGCATCGCCGCTATTCGGATCCGGGTCCCATTAGACTAAATTATTCTGATGTCATTTGTGGTAGTTTATTTTAGTTAAACTGAAGAAGTAAGTTTACAAACATATAGTCCATTCAATTATCTTTCATTTGGTACCAAATTTTGTCTTACAACCTAACAAAAATATTATTTTTTTTTAAATTTTAATCCCAAACTCTCACTTCTCGGACCCGGGTCCGAATAGCCATTCCGATAACATATTATGTAGAGTGCGCGCTGGTCATGCGCAAAGAAGGAAGTGTGAAGTTAGCACGCAGAGTGAATGCCCTTGAGCACGGACTCCTCATCTTTGCTTCCTCTGTCTGCAAAACTGCAGAAAACAAAAATTCCTTGCTGTGCTGCATATAAATTATGCCACAAAAGCACACACAAAAAAAAAAAAAAAAACAATCTAGAGAGCAAAGGAATTGCTTTTCACCGGTAAGTTGATAGTTTGTGTTTCATATCATTTAACTTACTTTGAATACGATTTAATTTTCAAGATCCAGCTGAATTTGTTACTCATGGCATGATTAAAACTTTAAAACAAATCATGATCGATTCACGAGCGCTTAACTTGAACTTGACTAGTACTAGTAATAAATAAGACTAGTGACTAGTGATACTATTTACTATTTAGACTAGTAATTAGTAGTAAGTTGACGTTGAGTGAATTAGTGAATATTATTACTATATAATTAATATTACATATACAGTTTTAGTATTTAATTTATTATGGGATTGAGTACAGAATCTTGTCTTGTACTGTAGTTATTGGTCAAAAATTTAAACATTTTGTAAAAATAAACCAATTGCATAGTTGAATAGAGCTAAATTTTTACAGAATTATAACTCCAAAATTATATTTTTAGCTCTTGTAGTTTTAAAGTTATGAATTTTTAAAGTATGACTTGGTTTGTCCTTATTTAACATGGACTGCATCTCCACATTCTGTGACCTCATTCCGCCGATCGCGTCATGCGCAATGACTATATAGTTTATATAAGGCTAAGGCATTCCCTTATCACTAAAATACTGTTTAGGGTCGATTTATTTTAAACTTTCAACTTTGGCACATGAATAATTAATTAAAGCTTTCCCTGACCAATGGTTTAATAGTTTTTGCACACGGCAAACACTTATGAATGAAACTCTGAGATAGTACTACGATATAGCCGTTATGCAAGTGGCTGTGAATGGTTGCCAATGACAACGTGTTGCACACGGAAATTTCTGATCATTTATAATATGGACTCTACAGGGTTTTTAAAGCTCAAATTAAAACATTCCAGTTTAAATGTCTTCAAAATGCATTCTGAAACACAAGTTATCAAATATTTTGATGTATATAGTGGTAATAATTAAATATTTCTTAAGTATCGGCAACTTTTCTACAGGGTTTTTAAAGCTCAAATTAAAACATTCCAGTTTAAATGTCTTCAAAATGCATTCTGAAACACAAGTTATCAAATAT